CGTCGGACAGGGCAAGATATGACAAAATAATAATTTATAATTTATCAAGGGTTCATGAGGGACGGTGTGGGGAGGGAGGGGAAAAATGAGGAGTTGATACCAAGGGCTCAAGTGGAAAGCAAATATTTTGAGAATGATGAGGGCAACGAACATACAAATGTGCTTGACACAATGGATGTATATATGGATTGTGATAAGAGTTGTACGAGCCCCAATAAAATGATTAAATAAAAAAATATGACATATCTTAGTTCTGGAGACAAAGTAGTGAATGGGTGTTACTGAATTTTGTGCCCTGTGTCTAGCCCCCATTTTTTTCTTAAACAGGATTCAGTCACTTAATTTTTAAATATGTTTAAGGGAACATCCTACATACTTCTAAGTCTAAAAAGCTTTTCTATGTATGAATATTTCCCTTTGTCTCAATCGTATTTTATATTCCCTACCATTGGCTAGCTTAATGATCCTATTATTAGAGTTACAAAAGGTCCCATGGAGGTTAATTATATTATCTCTCAAAAAGCTGAAGATGCTCCCATGAAAGTATAACAGGGATACATATAAACCTTAGCGATATGAATGGAGTTTGAACTCAAACTTAACTATAGGGCCTAACTTAAGAACAATGAGTTCTTATGATGTGATCCCTGTTCCAGACTTGCCTTCAGGAAAAGATCCCTGGCGATATGGGTGCTGTGGGAAAATACACTGAAGAAATCTGGTGATAGGCCGCTGGTATCTGGCTATCAGAAAGAATAGCATCTCGGGTCTTAAAAGCGTGTTTTAAAACAAGGAGCTGGTTTTAAAACAAACACCATCTAAGTGAGGTATTGGCTAAGTCTACATGAAAGAAGCACACCAGCCCATTGATCCGAGGATTTTAAATAATAAAATCCAAGATCAGAGAAGAACATTCAATTAGCATCTAGTTTGCCGAAGGCCATGGATGATACTGAAAGCCCCAAATCAATTTACAGAGTCCCCACATGGATTAAGCATCAGATGAATCCCCTCTAAACATTGACCAAGGATGTGAACAGCCTTGCTGTCAGACAGAGTGTATTGGAAAGTGGACAAATACAGATGTAGTTTGGTTACATTTAAAACCTTATCATTGGCTTTCCCTTTTGACCCATTTTAAGTTTATTCTCATATTTATTATTTTCTGTTTTCTTTTGGGTTGACGTTTTCTGTGTTGTTTGTGGTGGTGGTTTTTGGTGTTGATGTATTATTTTCTTTATACAAAATCCAGGATAAGTAAATCTATAGATGCGGTAACTAAATGAATAACTTCTTGAAATTATGCCAGGGAGTGTTGGGGGGTGGGGTGGGTGGGATAAAAGAGGAGATAATAATAATGAAGAAAATGCTCTAATACTGACAGTGGTGATGTTGCACAATCCTTTTTAATATATTTAAATCATTGAATGTTATGTGAACTATATCAATAAAACTGTTATAAAAATATGCCGTAGCCCCTTTATAAGGCGTAAGATTTCAGTATTTTGTATTATGAGATGTTTTAGGGACACGGATGGCTAGCACATAGGGATAATGCTGACATTGAGGGCACATGCACGTGAAGAAAAGCACAAAGGTTCCCGTTCATTCACCATTTTCAAAGAGGCTGTGCACACTGTTGAAGTGTTTCCAGGTGAATCAGCGAAGAAAGCTTAAAAACCATCCCTCTCCAGTCTACTCTGCCAAGCCTCACTTCTTCGTCTCCACCTCGGTTGTTCATGGCACCACCGTCCGTGCACATGCTCAGCCCGCGGTCTAGCTCTCTCTCCCCCTACTGGATGTAGCTGCGAGTCCTGTCCTCCACGTTTCTCCATCTTCATCACCTTAATTCAACCAGGGATTGAATTCAACCAGGGAACAGTCCCTGGTTGGTCTCTCTGCTTCTATTTTATCCATCTCCAATCCGTTCTTCATTCGCAGTCATGTTCATTTATCTCTGTCTCTGGCTCTGTCTCTGTCTCTGTCTCTCTCTCTCTCTCTCTCTCTCTCTCTCTCTCTCTCTCTCTCTCTCTCTCACACACACACACACACACACACACACACACACACACACACACAGAGTTATTCTCTAAAATAGAAACCAGATCACACCAACCATCTGCTTTGTTGTTAGCTGTCACGGAGTCAGCACCCGAGCCACGCTGGCTGCCGGCACACATTGATCGCATCGGGTTGACTTGATTCTTTTCAGAAGTAGATTGCCAGGCCTTTCCCCTGTTAGCCTATCTGGTCTGGAAGGGTCACCTGTCCAGTCTTATAGCAACACGCAAGCCTCCACTGGAATGGAAGTGAGAATTCTACCACGGAAGCACCAATTATCTCATCAAACCTCTACGTGGATCCTCTGCCAAGGCTGGCAAGCCTGGTGGTTTTGCATTCCTCCTGCCACATCTCCTACCTCATCATTCACACCCTTGGGCCATCTTGGTCTCCTCTTTGGTTGACAGATACATCCGGACTTTAGGTCTTTGCACTTGCTACCCGCCCGCCTGTCTGCACTGTTCTCCCCCAAATGCTCATCCAGAGATTGGGACATTCTCATTCTTTTACATCCTGCCTTAAATTTCAACCCTTAAGACAGACTTCCATACTCTTCTGTCTAAAGTAGCTGCCCATCACCATCCTCATGTCCCATGTTGCCTTAATCAAACATCACAACTATTTTACACCACATTTTCTTTTCTCTTTTCTGTGAATCACTGAACTACCTTGCATGTAGCCCAGTGAGGAGCAGGGATGGTCATGTCTGTCTTGGTCCCTACCCCAACCCAAGTCCCACCTCCTCAGGTAGCCCTCAGTATCAGCCCAGCAAAAAAACCATTAAAAACATGCATGAACTTACAGAGTGTTCTGCTGAGACACATAGTTGGCTTCTGTTTGGTAAAATTTGGGGCTCAAGTGTGTGCCAATTAGTAAAGGTGACTGAGGAGCCATTAGACCATTCAAAGGACACTGGAATTCTTTTGCTGCTCAAACCAATCCATGTTTCTGATGCACTTTCTGTAAGAGACAAATGCAAATTATGTCCAGGAATCCTATTATCTGCAAAGGGGATACACACTGGGACTATGACCAAAATCACCATTTTGAGTGTAATGTCTTATGATGAAACCTATGGCCTGGTTGAAAACATGTGTTTAAAATCTTGTCCCCTTTGATAATCTTCTCATCTGTGTGACACAGGCCTTCTAAGGCAGGCTAGGCGCTGAACCAAAACAAGGACAAAGCTTAAGGAAGTCAGATCCCTGGGACTCTAATTAGTTCCTACCACTGCATGTAATAGAACCCTGGTGGCACAGTGGGTTAAGTGTTGGGCTGCTGACTGAAAAGTTGGCAGTTCGAACCCATGAGCCCCTCCATGGGAGAAAGATGAGGCAGTCTGTAAAGAAATGGGATGGGGGCAGTTCTACTCTGTCCTACATGGCTCCCAGACAACTCCACACCATGCTGCTGTGGGACTGTTTGTAAAGCATATTTGAATAGCCGGAAAGAAAACTAACCCCACTGGACTAGCAAAAGCACTTAAATAAAGCAAAAGCTCTTAATGATGGTTTAGTGTTAAGACATATGCTTTCTTTGTTTTTCCTCTTCACACCCCCATGGGAAAATGAAGCAAAAGAGCTAAACTCACTGCAAACCGAAAACCTAAGTTCAATCCTGGCTCATCGAAATAGGAGCAACGGGCTGGCTAGGAAAGTAAACCACGCTTGCCAGTCAATTCAGAGAAAAGACTAGTCTAGGAAGACTAGTAGTCTCCCTATTGGGAGAGAGGGCAGTGGTGCCCTGGGGAAAGACAGGGGGCTAGCTGAAAGGGCAGCGAGAGAAAGACGTGTCAAATCAGCTCAATGGCCAAGGCCATCCTATGTCCCCTCTCCACCCCAGCCCATGAAGCCAAACAAACAAACAAACAAACAAACCAAAACACACTCAAAAGCTCCATTCAGAATGAAAAGGGTGAGGAAAACTTAGAGAAAGGGATTTTTGTTTTCACTCCAAACTAAAATGACGATAGAAAATTATTGAAGTACAAACTAGGGATTTTCTTTTATTTTTTCATTAAAAAATTTTTGCTTTAAGTCAGTTGTTATGGAATGAATTATGCCCCCCGCACCCCTGGCCCAGATGTGCTGTAAATCTTAACTTTTATTTGGGAATGGGTTGCCTTTGTTATGTTAATGAGGCAGGATGAGTATATGGTGTACTTTTTATGAATCAATCTCTTTTGAGATATAAATACACCGGGCAACTGTACGGAGATTTTCAAGGAATTGGGAAGTTGAAGCGATGAGCTCACAGAGAGCACGCCTTCTCCAGCTGCCGCCGTGGGAATCCCCATCCCATCTCTACCTTCTGCGTGTCAAAGGCACCCCCTTGGGGCATTTCTGCTAACGCAGTACTGCACAATCCAGGCAGAGTCTGGTCCTGGGGGTGGAGTGCTGCTTACAACTGTGGAAACAGTTCTAGAAACCAGGAATGGACAGAGGCTATCAGACTCAGTGGAGAAGATTCCTGAGACTATAAGCCTGTATTGCCTTGATAAGGCTGTTGATAAGAGTCCTAGAGTCAAATGCAATTAAGGTGAGAGTTCAGAAGGAAGTGAGATATTGACCTAGAGAAAGTCTGTATTACCTTAGAGCGGTGGTTCTCAACCTTCCTAACGCTGCGACCCTTTCATATAGTTCTTCATGTGTGGTGACCCCCTAACCATAAAAGTATTTCCGTTGCTACTTCATCACTGTCATTTTGCTACTGTTTTGAATCGGGCAACCCCTGTGAAAGGGTCGTTTGACCCCCAGAGGGGTCGCAACCCACAGGTTGAGAATCGCTGCCTTAGAGATGACATTTGGCGCCAGCAACAGAAATGCTGCTAGAAATTGGACTTTCACGGTGCTATTGGAGAGACTTTAAAAGAAAACTAGGACTGGGAGGAAGGGCAATACTTTTTATGCAGTGGGAAAGAACTTGTCTGAATTATTTTCAAATGTTTAGTGGAAGATAGAATTTGCAAACAATGAACGTGCCTGATGAGGTGGATAAGCATGATCTTAAAGGTCCTCTGTGGTTTTGTGTCTAATCGTAAATGCAGGGGGACACATGGACTTACAAACGGACTGAGCAAAATGAAACCAGGAGCTAAAGATTGGAATTCTGGACCCTAGAATGTTCACCATGGGTGTGGCGACATGAACTTTCCTGAAGAGGTGAAACCTAGCTGACTGACAGGCAGGCCTGTACGGTGAGCAATGACCCCAGGAAGGTATCCAGTCATTAGAACAATCAATCCTAAGAGATCAGGGGACAGCGTATCACAGGGACAAAGCTCAAGAGGCAGGATGGGAAGGGCCAGGATGAGAAGTAGTAAGCAGAGGGGAAAGGAGGGCAGTGCTATTACACTGTGGGATTATAAGCAATGTCACAAAATCAAATGTGTATACGTATACTGTTGAATGGAAAACATAATCTCTCACTCAAATCACAATCAAAGACAAACAAACAAACAAACAAAAAGAATTGTAAACCAAAACAAAAGACACACACGCTCACAAAAACACACCAACCAAAACAACAATGGCATAAAGAACATCCACTCCCACCCAGTTGATTCCGCCTTACAGCGACTCTCTAAGGCAAAGTAAAAGAGCCCCCTGGATTTCCGGGGCTGTCAATCTTTACAGGACCAGGCTCACCTTCGTCCCAGTGAGCAACTATTGGAGAGGAGCTGCTGACCTTGAGGTTGGCAAAGTGTAACCCACTATGCCACCGGGGTTCCTTTTACTTATAGTTTTGTGAAAAATAAAAAATTTTAATGTAAAAAAG